TGTTATAATTGTGATGATCATGGCATACAGCACAGTGGACCAACACTAGCTGATGACATGGCTCCCCAAATCTCTTTTCTGATGAGAGCAGCTTTTGCATCTCATTTGGAAACCAAGGACCCAGAGTCTGGAGGAAAAATGGCGGGCACACAATGCCGGATGCTTGAAGTCCAGTGTGAAGTTTCCACAGTCTGTGTTGATTTGGGGAGCCATGTCATCAGCTGGTGTTGGTCCACTGTGCTTCATTAAGTCCAGGGTCAACGCAGCCGTCTACCAGGAGATTTTGGAGCACTTCATGCTTCCTTCCGCAGACGAACTTTATGGAGATGCTGACTTCATTTTCCAGCAGGACTTTGGCACCTGCCCACACTGCCAAAAGTACCAAAACCTGGTTCAATGCCCATGGGATTACTGTGCTTGATTGGCCAGCAAACGTGCCTGACCTGAACCCCATAGAGAATCTATGGGGCATTGCCAAGAGAAAGATGAGAGACATAAGACTGAGCATGGCAGAAGAGCTGAAGGCTGCTATTGAAGCATCCTGGTCTTCCATAACACCTCAGCAGTGCCACAGGCTGATAGCATCCATGCCACGCCGCATTGAGGTAGTAATTGATGCAAAAGGGGCCCAAACCAAGTACTGAGTACATGTGCATGCCTCTACTTCTCAGAGGTCCAATATTGCTCTATTTGCAGTCCTTGTTGTGCTGATTTCATTTAATATTCTAATTTTCTGAGATTGTTATTTTGGGGTTTTCATCAGCTGTACACCATGATCATCACAATTATAACAAATAAAGGCTTGACATATCTTGCTTTGCATGTCATGAGTCTATCTCATATATTAGTTTCACCTTTTAAGTTGAATTACTGAAATAAATGAACTTTTCCACGATATTCTAATTTTCTGAGTTTCACCTGTATATAGCCTATCAGTTGTGCACCATGACCAACCAGATGCAGCATAAACTTTCTGCTTTTGCAATCATGTGATGGCCATATAAGTCCTGGGGACTGTCCAGTTGATGGACCTGCAGCAATATAAACAGTAATTTAAATGCTTCAGCAGCATATAAGTGCAGAAAGGAAAGGTTGGTATCATTCATTGATTGCCAAATGATAGCATAGTTGGGCAGTCATTCTGGCAAGTAACCAGTAATGTAACTCCCTTTCTCTTCTTGTACAAGGTAACAAAAGACCTTGCAGGTTTTCCACAGTGCAGGATTACTAGTGGATTCAGCCCAAATTTGGGTAGATTAAGTATTTGAGGCATGGAACTCAAATATCCAATGGCAAAGTGTCTTCACAATTAGAGAGTCAAAACACCACCTTTATCTTACAAAATGTTGTTGGTACTTACTAGATTTCAAGCCAGGTTCTATGAGCAGTTGTTTTGTGGTAAAATCCCAATACAAGGATGCATCTGACAGCCTCACCCTGGAGATGGTAGTCTGCATGTACTATGAAAAAGCACTTCTGCAGCAAAGGAAGAAGAAGAAGAAGAAGAGTTTGGACTTGATATCCCACCTTTCACTCCCTTTAAGGAGTCTCAAAGCGGCTAACACTCTCCTTTCCCTTCCTCCCCCACAACAAACACTCTGTGAGGTGAGTGGGGCTGAGAGACTTCAAGAAGTGTGACTGGCCCAAGGTCACCCAGCAGCTGCATGTGGAGGAGTGGAGACGCGAACCCGGTTCCCCAGATTACGAGACTACCGCTCTTAACCACTACACCACACTGGCTCAGAAGGAAACTTCTGAGCTTCCCCTAGTTTTCCTTTCCTTTCCTTTCCTTTCCTTAATGAACATGCTTCATGAATGAAGCAAGACTGGTAGCAACATCCACAACCCACACTATAAGTATTCTTTCAATCCCTACAACTGTCTGTCTTTTGAGAAAACTAAGTGCATTCTCTATGAGAGCAAGTGTGTGCCCACTGGTGAGTTTCATTTGCAATGACAGCACCTTTCTTTGACATATGCATTGCAATAAAAGGTAAAGGGACCCCTGACCATTAGGTCCAGTCGTGGCTGACTCTGGGGTTGCGGCGCTCATCTCGCTTTATTGGCCGAGGGAGCCGGCATCCGGATCATGTGGCCAGCATGACTAAGCCGCTTCTGGTGAACCAGAACAGTGCATGGAAACGCCGTTTACCTTCCCGCCAGAGCGGTACCTATTTATCTATTTGCACTTTGACATGCTTTCGAACTGCTAGGTTGGCAGGAGCAGGGACCGAGCAACGGGAGCTCACCCCATCACGGGGATTCGAACCGCTGACCTTTTGATTGGCAAGTCCTAGGCTCTGTGGTTTAACCCACAGCGCCACCCGCGTCCCTTATGCATTGCAATAGGTTGCTGCAATTTTTTCGTAGTCACACTGTTGGGGGGGGGGAGTGTGCTAGTTGTCGTACAGTGTCTTCCCTATAGCCTCTGCTTTTTCAACTTTCATCCTCTCTCCTCACTTCATTATCCTACCAGAGATATTTACCCAGCCTTTCTGGCTGGGGTCCTGGAACGGGGAGGAAGACGACAGTCAGTGATGCTTATTGTGAGGCTCTGTGGGTGTCTATGAGTGTACCTGTTGTCTGCTGTGAAGTGTAGGAGGGGGACGTATGTGCCTTTTGGAGCTAAGAAAGCCAATGCAGTCCTTCACCATCTCGTCACAAGAAGCATGGAACTGTGTATATTTGTGTCTTGCCTGCCAGGTTAGAATGCCTCAGTAGATTCAGTGGCAAAAGCTACTGTTTTCACCAGTGTGGGTGAACAGGATTGAAGTGCCAAGTTTATTTTGGGATTAATATTTCCAACCCATTACCTAGATTCTAGTTCATTACAGCAAGTGCTGAGTAATACAAGAACAGCATGTGTGTCATAAGTCTTGAAGAAAACGTAATGAGAGAATTCAAAGGAACTTCGTATTGGCAACTTGAGATTTCCACAGGAACATGACTAGATAATATTTATCTGCATCTAGAGTAAATGCCTTTTACTCTTAAGGAACACTAATAACAAACTGATTACAAAAGACCTTGGCTTGTATTCAACATAGCACTAAGGCTACGGTTCCACCAGCACAAGGATTTTTGTTGCAGGCTGGAACCATCTCCTCTCTTCCCTACACCCCCTAAATCTGTTCTGGGAGTTTCCTCAACCATCCAGACTGAATAGGGGGAACTGTGAAGAGCACATGTGGAGGGAACTCCCATTGTGCCAAAGGGAATCCTTGGGTTGGCTTCCACCAGCAGGATGGGGTACTGGAATGCATGCCCTAAAGTTTAATGTTCCTCCTTTGCAATGCAAGTTTGTTACGGAATATAGTTTAATTGATCTGCATTTGCTTCAAGACCCTTTTATCACTGAGATACTGCTGCAAAACGATGCAGGGATGGTTTTTTGCTTACTGCAGTTTTCTAATAATTGAATCTTCGAAGATTAGAGGATCAGGTACAATTGAAAGCAGCAGAAGAGTGAAGGTCAGGTGGAGAAATGGGGTGCAGCCAGTACACATGACCCCCCTCCGTAGTATTTGTCCTCATGTGTTCTACTGAGTTGTAATTGTTAACCTCTGTGTTCATCAGCCAAATTACCCAGTAAAGGGAAGGATCACACTCAAGTTCCTTTCTTTGCATGTAGGCGATGTGAGGGAGTTAGAGGGAGACTGTAGGTTGTAGTGCTGGCCTGCATAGTTGAGACCCACAGAATGGAAAGCTGAGCACCCACTGTGTAATGTGCAGATTGCCCAGTGCTGGACACCTTCAGAGTTATTATAGGTTCATTGGCACCGCAAAACTAGTAGGGTTGGTGGCAGCCATGCACTGCTGATGGATAGTTTAACTCAGTGTATCAGAAATTGTACAGGTGCTTTTTAAGGAGGGTCTTCTATAATAAAAGCTACACATGCCTCTCACCGCAGATTTGAACTATGTAATGGTGTGCCATTTCCTACAATTTGGTTTGATGGACTTTTACACCGGATCACCGAGCTGCTGTTTAGCTTGGCAGATCTCATAGCCTTGTTAGCTGAGCAAACAGGTAGTGGGAAAGCCAATGTATTGTTTGTTTTGAGTTGGCGTGGAACCAGGAAAACATAGAAAAGCTGTATGGCATGGTTCCTGGACTAATTTTCTGATGTCACACAATTAGTGTTGCAGTTTCAGAGCTTTTCTATAGCCAATTACCTAGAGGGGTAGAATGTATTGTACGCTGCGCAAGAACGGCACCTTTCAACTCCAACAAAACTGCAGGAGTTGATCAGCAGTGTTAAATACCTGATTTTACATTTGTGTGGAAATTGAACCAGTATGTTAATTTCTGTAGCTTTAAATACAGTAGAATGGACTCATTAGTAAGCCAAGGGCATTTCCCCCTTTCATCAATTGCTCTTATTGCTCCCTGATATTTTTTTTTAAGGGCTCTGGAGCAAAATATTTGTGAATCTGTGCATGCACACTCTGTTCTCATTTATGAAGTATTAAACTTGGAAGGGTTAGCTCAGAACTGTTTTTGTTTGGTGAGGTGTGGAGATTTTCTCTTGTGATGTGTATAAAATTCTGAATTTCAAGCAATTTTTGGTTTAGAAGTGGTCGTCTTCCCTCCCCCTCCCCACAACTTATTATTTTATAGTGAGTTAAAGGCTCCATAGCAGCTCAGGACTGACACAGATGGTAAACATTTTTACTGCAGAACACCAGCGGTGAGCAGCATATCACAGAGTTAGAGCTCTCAGCACTATGCTTGCTCAGCTGTGCATAATCACGCTTGTTCCCTTCTCTCGGGTTTCTAGCCAACTCAGAGAAACTCAGCTAAGCGATTCAATCCAATTCTACCGACATCACAAAGCTGTCGTTTAGTTCATAGATGATTTTTACAGCATTGTGTGACTGCTTGAAAAAGACTTCCTCGCCCTCTCTGTAGCCCACTCAGAAGGTCAAAGGCCTTCACAGATTTGTAGAGTTGGAAGGGACCACAGGGGTTATCCAACCCCTGCAATGTAGGAATCTTTCACCCAGCATGGGACTCGAACCCACGCCCCTGAGATTAAGAGTCACATGCATGACCCATGCATGCAGCTACCCTTGGCTCCTTTGAGAGGAAGAGCAGGATATAAATCTAATTAATAATTAATTAGTAATTCTGCAGCATTAATATCTGGAACTTCTGGCATGTGAATGAATTATAGAAGTGTCACTATGTCTGACTATCCTCTGCCGTGAAATAAGATGACCAGATATTCATTTATCAGTGGCTGAACTAGAGAACGCCAATTAATTTGGAGAATGATGAAGCCACATCTTTTGGGGCTGAAATTAAGTACCCTTAATGCCTTTGTCCTGGTCCTATGATTTCCCCATGTTCATTAAGATTAGTTTTCTGTGAAGCAAGTAGTGAAAGTTTTGAACACCTTTAAGTCTTCCCAGAAATTTCCCATTGCCATCATACGGTCACCAGGTTGGGTTTTATGGTTCCACCTGGTGGATGAGGGCAGAAGTAGACTTTTGGGATATAGGTGTCTCTCTACTCAGTTGAACCAGTCACACAAGCACCCACTTTTCTTTGTTTTGGGCTTGTTAAAATTTCCTTTATGCTCTGGTCTTTGCCCTTTCTCACTTCCCTCTTTAGCGGTTGCCTTCCTCTAACCCTTTCCCACCCTTCACAGATCCTTCTGACTTTTCTTTTCCCCTTCCTTAACTCAGTTTTTTAAAAAAACCTTCAAACATACAAACTTTTAAGTCTTCCCTCTTCCCTTCTCCTTTCCCTCTCCCTATTGACACCTCAGGAAGAAGGTGCTTGAATTGACACAGCCCACCTGTGGTCATTTGGCATGTGTCTGAGCGCTGCTGTGACTAATTGAGTCCCTGGCTTGTGGCCTTCGTTAAGGCCTGTCCTCCCGTGTGCCCCTTGGTAGCTTGCAAGGCCCTGCGGAAGAGAAAGTGCCTGAAGCAAGTCACTCCACATACCCACATTTGCACTCCCCCTTCTCCTGCATAGCAAGCCTAGCCCAGGGACCCAACTGCACCTCTCCTCACAACTGATCAGATTTGGGGGTGGGGTGAGGACCCTGCCTCTCAGACCCCTGGAGCCTTCATTCTTCAGTATCTTCTGAAGAGGATGAATTTATGGGGGCTCCCCTCCCACTTTGTCTTCTCCACCAGCGCTCCATACCCTTTGCGATGATGCCTGCCCTGGGGGGCTTCCAACTAACAGAGGACATCCTGAGGCAGGAGGCCTTCCTGGGCTCCATTTCCTTAGAAGCAGCCTGATTCCCAACAGGATGGAATATAACAGGTTTAATAGGCCACATTAAACCTACTTCACATAGCCAGAAGAAGCTATGCCCTCTTAATCCTTTCATATTGGCTACCATTGATCCTGGGGACCTGGGCAGCTCTCAGGCCTTACCTTCACCAGGGACTGACCCCTTTTCCATTCCTGAACTGGATGTAGGGGAATGGAGCCATGGATCTGTGGCAGAGTAGCAACCATCCCATCTACTCCTCCTGGATGACCACTTTTTGCCATTACTGCCTTGCTCTGTAGTCTCCCTAGAGGTGAATACTGTCCCATCAGAAACCGCTCCAGCACCATTTAAGGGGGCAGCAGTGCGCCCAGAACCACAGACCTCCAGCAAATTCATACCAACTCCAGGCTGAATGAACCAACCCTATGCGATATAAGAAACTGCTAGCCCTGGTTAATAAATACTACACCCTGGATGCAGCATTTTTGAATCTCTTGAAGGACACCTGTTTCTATACCAGTTTTGAGATCTCTCCTGCCTAAGGATGGGGACGGCCAGCTAAACAACACCATAGAAAGGCACCAGGATTTCACTGTGCGATGAGTACATGAGACATTTGCCCTTGCCATCTGTGCAGCATGAACAGCTTCTGTCTTTACCAGGGAATCTCTTACTTGAATCAAGAGGTCCTAGTCACACACTGTGAAAAGAAGTGTTGCTGCAGATGGTAGCAACAGAACCAGTCATTTCAGAACTGTGGCCCTCAAGGCAGGTATCACAACTACCACCCAAACAAATATGGAACAAACCTCGTTATCTCTCCCCCCCAATCCAACACACACAACAGCAGCAGGGCAACAAATGCTCCATAGCCGAACCAATGACACCAGAAAGTGGGGGTAGGCTTCAGTCCTTTCTCAGCACCTGGCAGGGGATGGTGACAGACCTCTGGATCCTCAAAACAATATTAGAGGTCAGCTGTTGGCCACTTGAGCATCGCCTAACTCCTATAATATGCCTTCTCATATTTTGTTGCAGCATTTGGCTGGAGGGTCATTCAATAGGTTCTCCTGTGTTACCTCTGACAGTTGCAGTTGGGATGTCCCAACTCAGTGACCCTATGGTACTCACCTGAAGGGTGGATTTCTCTTGCCATCATAGGGTCATTGGGGCCTCACTCTAATTTGGACTGCAGTGCTGCAGTAGGTTGTATTGTTGGTTTTTTCCTTACGTGTTGTGTTGAGACTCTGTGGACTGTTTGAGCTTGGCAAGTCCACAAAACTGAGTGGGGAGACGGCTGTGTCCCAAAAGCCTACTTTTGCCTTCATTCACCAGGTGGAACCATACAGGCCAACCCAATAAGTACAAGAGAAATCTACCCTTCAGGTGAGTACCAGTTGTATTTTCTAGTGTGTTTAGTTAGTGGGTGTTTGTTAACTTCTTGAAACAGTGTTATATACCTGCTGTTATGGTGGAAGCTGCTGCATTTGATACAGAAGGTGGGATTTCTAACCCACCTTTCATTGCAACATTAGTCAAGCTATGAATTAAGAATGTTTCTGTTTTTATTAACTTAAATAAGACTTTTCTTTCAATAAACATTTTGATGCAAGTAGTAAGCTAAGGGGATTTCCATTTTAACACAAGCCTGTGACAACAGCAATAACATTCAGTTGTGTCATCAATCTCATTCTGATAGATTATTATAGTCCACTGAATGTAAGTTAGAATCCTGAGTCACATCCCCCCTTTAATATTCTCTGTAAAATGCAGCCCTTTCTTCTGGCACAATTAATTTTGCCATCTGCCTGGTGATAAGCTATGTTCTACCATTTTCTGTTTTGGTTTACAATGCTGCCCAGGCTTTGTCTTAATATCTCATTGCAGTTCTTGTGCAAAAGTACTGAAATGCTTTCCCCCGCTTTTTGTAACATGGAGAAGATCAAAAAATGTCATGCAGTTCCAACCTTATACTGTCAAATGTTTTCTGGGCTAACATTCTTACATTCTCTGTAAGGTATAACTAAAGCCTGACCGGGTTTATTTGAACAATGTAAAGTCAAAGAATCAGCAGCAAAAACAAATACTTCTAATTCATGTACCTTTTCTTTGGTGTTTACCTTGGAGTTGGTGTCTTCCTTAGATAAAACAGTTTGATATTAAACAGTTCCTCTAATTTTACAGGGCTCTGTTTCTTTTTATGGCAACACACACTGTGCAGGAAGGTCATTATGCCGAGGGTAGGAGAAGAAAAGCTGTCAGCATAAAAGAGAAAGTTAACATTGCACATGTTGTCTTTGTTTATGGGGTTCCTGGAATGTGTTGAGATTCATTCCAAATGGGGGTTCGAAATAATTTGTTGCAAAGTGCTGGACAGCTACCTCACATATTCCTTTACTATGAAAAGGCATTTCTCTTTGAAAGTATGGCTAGTATACATATTTGCCAAAAGGGTGTAGAATATTGATCTCCTTTTTTTGTTTTTTAAGGAAAAAGTACTTCACAATTGCATCTGTTTATATTTGTTCAACTGACTTGTTTCATACAGTTTAAGGGGTATAGTAGTATTACATGTAACAAGGCCCAGCTGTAAAAACACAGGGGGTGAGAGGAAGATTCCAGGCCACTAATTCCTGCCCTGTGAGGTTAGTTCTGTAAAAAGTGTTGCAAGGTAATGCTCCGGTCTGTGCACAATGTACTGATAATTTTTCTTATTTCCTGTTGGAACCTGTGACTGTTCTACAACTGGAGGTTGAGCTGATTTTCATTATGGGGTAGGGTGGTGATAGCCAAGCCGCCAGACATTTGTTGGGTGACATTTCACCTACCAAAACATAAACATGTGGAACTAATTGAACATTGATGGATCCTAAGTATTCTTACTAGCATGTTTCTGCACAGGGACAAGGTGTTGGACTTAATGAGTTCAGTGTTTGGCAATTAAAAGGTAAATGGCAAGTAGAAGGAAGGTGACTAGCCAGGAAGTATTAGCCCGAGCCATGAAAAACAGATTCTTCAAACAACTGAAGCACCTGTTTAAGTCTATAACCGGGATGGGGAAATTTTGGCCCTCCAGCTGTTGTTGAACTCCGACACCCATCAGCCGCTGCCAGCATGTCCAATGATCGGGAATGATGTAAGTTGTAGTCCTGCAACATCTGGAGGGCCACAGGTTCCCCATTCCTGGTCTATTGGATGTTTTTCATGTGTGTGAATCTGGAAATGGTTCCACCTTAGTGACAGAGAATGCCTGTTTGAAAGGAGACAGCCTTCAAGGAATCTTCAGCTGTTTCTGACTGAGGTGGTACATGATTTGCAATTTAATGTAGTGTACAATGGGCAAGACAGTCTTACATTCCTGCCATATCAGATCCAGCTCACATGGCCTTAAAGTCAGCACATCTTTGGGTTGTATGTGCTCTTGAGCATGAAAAGGAAATGAAAGAAGTACAAAGACTATACAGTGGTACCTCGGGATGCGAACGGGATCCGTTCCGGAGCCCTGTTCGCATCCTGAACAGAACGTAAGACGCGACAGCGCGTCTGCGTGTGTGCGGGTCGCGTTTCGCCGCTTCCACGCATGCGCGTGACGTCATTTTGACTGCGCATCCATGAGCGGTAAAACCCGGAAGTAACGGAGAGCGTTACTTCCGGGTCGCCGCAGAGCGCAACCCGAAAGCGCTCAACCTGAAGCGTATTTATCCCGAGGTATGACTGTATATTGCAACCCAGCTTCTGTTCCTCCAGCATCCAAGGTAACATAACCAACTCCTTGGCATGGGTAGAGCCAGTCCAGGCAGGCAGGCAGGCTACATTGATGTTGTGCATTGCACTGAACCTGG